ACAACAGCTAGGGATTGCTGGTCAGTTATTACCCAAGGTGGCCAAGGAAGGAAGCATCATGAGGCAGGCTGTGCCAGCTATGGGAGTGGGGAGAAAATCAGAAAATCAAGACAGACACACAGACAGATAGAGAGATGACAAATAGATGGATGAAGAAGGAAGAAGGAGGAGAAAGAAAAGGAGAAGGAGGAGGAGAGACAGGAATGTGGGTCTATAACTTTGGGTTTTTTTCTTCACAAATTATTAGTTTTGCAAAACAAACTCTAAATAAGTTTAGGTAAACTTTTTTTTGAGACAAAGTTTCTCAATGTGACAGCCCTGGCTGTTTTTGGAACTCACCTTGTAGACCAGGCTGGCTTCAAACTCACAGAGATATGCCTGCCTCTACCTCCTGAGTGCTGGGAATAAGGTGTGGGCCACCCAGTACCTATGACACAGCCAACATTATGTGAGTATCCCTGGTCTGAAGATCCCAAACCTAAAATGTTCCAAATGTATTTGTGTTCAAGGAATGCCAGCATTGTGATCAGGAAAGCTGTTATGGAGATAACCAACATCCCCAATGGGGTGCAGGCTGGCTCTGCCTAATACTATGAACTAGTATTCACACTTGTACAAACACCAAAGCCACCCAAATCCTGCTGATCAGTCCCCTGACAGATACTCTATGTGTGTGAAAGTGTGTTGTGTATGTACGGCATGTATATGTGACTGTGTATGGGTCTGTATGTGTGTTTAGGAGAGTATAAATATGGGAAGTGTGCATGTGTGATGTGCTTGTATATGTGTATGGGGTATATGTGTGTATACACAAACATCATAACTAGAAAGGTCTTAGGCATTATGAGGAAATCTAACATGGTCACTTAGATAAACGACACACCGTCAAATCACAGCCTAGACATATGTGTGGGCAAAGGGCATTCTCAGCCTAAAACCGAGAAGCCTCTCTTCACAGTGAATACAGGTGAATGCCAAGACCCATGGCTGCACATAAGAATGCTGAGAACAAAGGGTGGTTGATGTTGCTGCCCTACAAAAGGCATTACCACCACCCCCTTGAGGCTCAGTGAACATTATGGAGGGGAGGGGTGGAAAGAACACAAGAGAGGCAGGATGGGGAGTGTGGGTGCAAAATTCTATTCTCCAGGCAGGACATGGACACGACAACCACAAGCTTGAAGCAGCGGTGCATGCTGGTGCTGAGCCACAGAAGTCAGGCCCTTCTAACAGTCAGCACAGAGGGGAAAGGGACTCATGGGGCCCCACCACGTACTGAGGATCTGCTGTCAATCTGCTGATTCTGGAAGAGGGGGATGCATGAGATCCAGTGTGTACCCACCCATGAGCCCGCAGGATCTGATGGTTACATCCAAACTCAGGACCACGCAGACAGTCAGGACCGAACTCTGTGGAACACTGAACAAAATCCAAAATAGCAAATAGGGTAAGAAGGTTTCTAGAAGAGGGGGAGGGGTGGTGAGCAGATGGGAAGTGGAGAGAGGGAGCAGAATACACAGTGAACATGTGCCAGAGTGTGGAAGAGCAAAATTCACCAAAGAAAAAAAAGTTTCACACTTTGGAGCAAATCATATAAGGTGTTGGAGTTTGGGATTAGGAATGCTCAATGACAATGTTGATACAAATATTATACTAAAAACTCTAAAATCTGAAACACTTCTGGTCCCAGACAGTCCAGGTAAAAGATATTCAACCTGTTTATATAAATTAACTGAAACACACACACACACACACACACACACACACACACACACACACACACTTTCACACATGTATGTATACTCATACATTCAAACAGGCACAAACACACACATACACCTAAGCACACATTCATATACCCCATACACACATACTCACACATGCACACTTCCCATACTTATACTCTCCTAAACACACATACAGACCCATACACAGTCACATATACACATGCCATGCATATACAACACACTTTCACACACATAGCATATCTGTCAGTGGACCGATGGGCAGGAAATGGATGGCTTTGGTGTCTGTACAACAGGTGAGGTCAGACAAGGCACAAAGCAGAGGAGAGAGAGTGGATGCAAGTAGATATATCCCTGCCCTCCTTTCACTGGCCAGCTCACATCGCTGGCGCCAGGCAGCTGCTCTGGGAGACCTCACCCTCCTGACAGTGTCAGTCACGGAGGCGCTGCTCTGGGTGACTTAACAGGACTTTGCTCATGCTGCTTCAGAAGGGAAGCACGGGGTGATAATCTGCCGGCTGCCCTTTGCACGTGTGAAGTCTCTTAAGTTGCCTTCCCACCACGTACTGACGTGGCAATCTCTCTTCCCTGTTTTCCTAGAGCAGATAATCTTGCTCACGGCTCAGATGTTGCCTTTGTAAACTTTGATGCCTCTGAGGGCTGAGGAATCACAGGGCAGAGCTGTTTTCTCAGATCTGTGGCTGGATCTTTGTGGCTTTTCTATAGATTACAACCCATCCATGGGTGCCAATGTCAACTGTCCAAGGAGGGAGCGCTGGTCGGGCTGCACAGAACTCTGACAACCACAGACCGCCACAGGGTACCTTAGCTAGACCTCTGTCAAGCATTCCCTCATGTTTCCCCGTGGGAGGAAACACTGTGTCTCTGGCAGGGCTGGATGATATGTGGATCTCTCTCTCTCTCTCTCTCTCTCTCTCTCTCTCTCTCTCTGTGTGTGTGTGTGTGGTGTTCATACATGTGCAGGTGGACACAGGTGTGTGGGTGTGTTTGCTCATGTGTGCACCTGTGTGTGGAGACCAGAAAGCGACCTCAGGTATCTTCCTCAGGTGCCATTGTTTTTGGACTCTGAGACAGGATCTCTCACTAGTTCAGAGCTCATCAAGTAGGTTAGGGCTGGCTGGCCAGCCCTAGGCCTCCGCTCTTCTCCCTCTGCTCAGCTTAGGAATTATAAGTTCACACCACTGTGTCCAGTTTTTTATAAGTGGATTCTGGGGATCTGAACTCAGTTCTTATGCTTGCAAGACAAGCACCTTACTGACTGAGCCGACTCCCCAGCCCTGGACCCTTTTATAAGGGGTGGTTTTCCCTGCATTTCTGAGGTTAACAAGGTGTCCTGGCTGTCCCCACTGGTGCAGACAGCCAGAGAAGGCTCTCCTTTGCAGCATTAATTTGTGCTTATCATTGCCCTGCGGCTGTTCATACAGCCTCTTGAACAATCATCATGCTGACTGAAGATACCCCATTTTGCCAAGCACTTTGCTTTGAGTGGAAGATGCCAGAACTCTGGGGAGAGGGACTAAAAAGGACCAGGCAGGGCCTACCCACATACCCCGGAGAGCAGTGGTTTGTTAGCTACTGAATCAGGGATCCCAACTCAAGACAGTGCTACAGGCAAGCCGCACACAGAAGAGGCCCTGCTTCACAGGGGACAGTGGAAGGGTCCAGAAAGCCATGTAAGACAGCCACCAAAGCAAGGGACTTGTGCCAAGAGGAGTGGATGGACGGGAGGGAGCACACAAAGCAGCTGGAGCCGGGGCCTGAAGTCCAAGGCTGCACTGGGTGAGGGCTGCACTGTGTTATTGATGCTGCTTACTGTTAATTCAATTAAAGCCTTCCGAAGCAACGCTGGCAGGCAGGGTCCCCTGCAGGGGTGGAGAGGTCTGTTTGCCCAGGTGCTGGGTGGGGCTGAAGCCAAAGGAGTTGGAATAGGATCTCTCCAAGCATGGGGCTCCCCTCAAAGGAGCCCTGGCCTTTGCGACAGAGGCCTCTGTCACCAAGGCACCCTCCGGCTTCCACACACATCTTGCTTCGATTCGTCATTTTAACCATAAAATTCCATGCAGAAAAAAAAATAAAAGCCTGGCATGATGACTTCTATTGGAAATTATAGCTCTCTAACATAAAACATATTAGATGCCATTAAACTTTACAGGTTATAATTCCCCAGAGGAGGGTGCACCGCTCGGGCTGCTGAAAATGGTACTTCAGTGAATTTAGAGCTATGTAGTTTATGAAATGAGAAAGATAATCAAAAGGTTTCAGATAGGACAGAAACAGCAGACAGTGGTCTGTTAGCTTCTGCAACGGCCCGGCCCGCTCTGTTCACGGACTTACATGTGTGAATGAATCCACTTTCTCCCTCATCACATTTGGGGAGCTTGCTTGGTTTGCATTGGACACCAGAGAAGAGACCCAATTCGATTTGCCCAGAGTGGTGTGTGTGTGTGTGTGTGTGTGTGTGTGTGTGTGTGTGTGTGTGTGTGTGTATACACGTGTGCATGTTTCCAGGGGAAATATAGCAACTGATATCTTCTTGCTCCAACTGTCCACAGTGGCAAAAGTCCTCTTCAGCATCTATATGCTGTTGTCCTTTTCTTGTTTCTGTGGTTTGGTTGGTGAGTTTAAGGATTGCAGCATCCTCGTGTGTCACCCCCCCTCCCGGGGAAGGGGGCTGCATGAATTCAGCAGCGCGTACACTGGCAGCACCAGATGCCACTGGCTTGTTTATCCTGAGGACAGAGTCATTGTGCATCAGGAGCAGGAATATGTTTGCCAGTCTTCACACTTAGACAACTCTGGACGTTTTCATAGCGAACAGCATTGCTACAGGGAAAGAAGCGGCTGAACCTGGCACTCACGAGTCTGTGGCTGATTGTGTTTGATTTTGGAAACTGAGATACTCAGGTATCCCAGGCTGGCCTCAGAGTCACAAGATAGATGAGCATGACCTTGAACTTCAGATCTCCCTGCTCTCACATGCCCACATCCTGAATTCTGGGCTCACAGGTGTGCACCCCCATGTGGTGCACTCTGCCAACTAAACCACATCCCTGGCCCAGTGGCTGATTTTTTGAAAATGTAATGACAGAAACATCATAAAGAGAAAAGCCAGAGAAAGCTATGACATTAGCCAGAGTCAGTAATATGCTAAGTCCTTATTGTAAAGAAATATTGCATGCAATTAGTTATTCATGAGAAACGCCTACACAAGGCAAAGTAACTTTAAACACATACCGTTAGGTTACTTATTGATCAGCTGATGAAAACATGACTGAAGGCTCCCAGGGTCGAACCCTGTACCTCCCCTGGGAGCAATGGCTCAGAATGTGCTATACGGTATCCATGGCAACATTATAAACTTTGTCACAAATAACAAGAATCAACCACAGCTTTTTAAATTACAATGTTATTATGAGCAAAGACAACTTCATAAGGTTAGAGAGAGTCAGAACTTCGGCCCACACCCTTGTGTTTCTTTCAGGCCATGCCTTGTGAATGTACGTTTTCCACTATTTATGACATGCTCTTCTGAGGTTCCTTTGAAAATACTGCCTTTCTCATTGAGTATTCCAAAAATCTGATTTCTTTTTATCTCCGTGTAATACCCAGTGCCCTGGTGTGTGTGTATGTGTGTATATGTGTGTGTGTGTGTATATGTATATATGTATATATGTGTATGTATGTATATGTGAGTATGTATATGTATGTGTATATATTTATATATGTGCATGTATGTATATGTATATATGTGTATATATGTATGTATGTGTATGTATGTATATACCTATATATATGTAAATAAATTTCCTGGTGCCCCCTTTCTACTCGAAAGGGATTTTCCTGCTGTGCATTCCTAATCCCCAGTCACTGGGCAAGATTTGGGGTTAAGGGTAAACAGGGTGTTTACTGCATGAATGCAGGGAAGCCATGAAGGATGAACCCCATTCACACTGCCCTCTCAGTTCATGCCTTGCCAGGCCATGAACCTGCAGTTCGACATACTGGACATACCTCACTCCCATTTCCTTCAGGTCACCACAGGAACCAAGGCAGGCTTGTGGCTGGAGCTCAGGTTGTTTCCAGACTGTAAGCCGTCTCAGAGTCACCTTAACACTCTACCTTGCAACAGCACCAATTGCCACTTACTAATCAATTCTGAGAGGTGTGGGCCAAAGGTAGCAAACACCGAGTGCCGTTGATTTAGATTATTTCAACAAACAGAATTTGGGTAAACAGAGGCCAGGGTAAACCCCACACCCAGATGTGGATCTCACTAAGGAAGCTAGGTAGACAAACATTTGGGTGGGGCAGATGCTAGAACTCTATGACTGTCCTGAGTACGTATGACAGTCATCTGAGCCACCTCTAAGAAGTGCTTCGGTCCTATGTGTACACAGTCTATTGTAGATACTGGACAGTGATGGGCATACACCACTTCTGAGAGAGGGGGTGTGGAGGAAAGAAGGAAAGAAGGAAAAAAGGAAGGAGGGAGGGAGGAGAGGAAGGAAAGAAGGGGAAGGAGGGAGGGAGGGGAGGAAGGAAGGAAGGAAGGAAGGAAGGAAGGAAGGAAGGAAGGATGGAAGGAACGAATGCCCGCATTCCGTAGCTCTATCTGGAGGCAGTCTCTGGTCCTCAGAGTTATCTTGAGAGTTTCTTGTGCCCCACATTACCTCTTGTTACTTTGTTTTCTGCTGAGCTCCTGTCTTTGCTTCTCTAGAAAATTTTTTTTGATGTCACATGATGGATAGTTTGAATAGGTATAAAATTTCAGGTTCAAAACAATTGTTTTAGAACTTTGATATTTTTCATTAGCCTATGACACTGAGTGTCTTCCTTAGGGTTTCTATTGCTGTGAAGAGACACCATTGCCACAGTTACTCTTTTTTGTTGTTGTTTTGTTTTAGAGACAGGGCTTCTCTGTGTAATTTTGGAGCCTGTCCTGCAGCTCACTCTGCAGACCAGGCCTTGAACTCACAGAAACCCACCAGCCTCTGCCTCCCTAGTGCTGGGATCAAAGGTGTGTGCCGTCACCGCCCGGCTCCACAGCTACTCTTATAAAAGAAAACATTTCATTGAGGCTGGCTTACAGGTTCAGAGGTTTAGACCATTATTATCAGAGAGGGAAGCATAGCAGTGTGCAGGCAGACATGGTGCTGGAGAAGGAGCCGAGGGTTCTACATCTGAATCAAAAGGCAGCAGGAAGAGAGAGGAGACACTGGGCCTGACTTGAGCTTCTGAAACCTCAGAGCCCACCCGCAGTGACACACTTTCTCCAAGGCCACACCTCCTAATGGTGCCACTCCTTAGGGGTTTATGGGGGCCATTCTCATTCAAACCACCACATTCCACTCCCTGGCCCCCATAGGCTTGTGGCTATATCATAACGCAAAATGTATTGAGTCCAAATTCAAGAGTCTTCACAGTCGATTACAGTATTAGCACTGTTTAAAAGTCCAAAGTTCAAAGTCTCTCTGAGACTCATGCAGTCTCCTACCTGCAATCCTCTGTAAAATCAAAATGAAGGAGTAGTTAACATACTTCCAACATATAATGCCACAGGATATACACTACCTTTCCAAATGGGAGGAAAAGGAGCATAGTGAAGAAATATTGGACCAAAGGAAAATTGAAAACCAGCTGGGCAAACTCCCAACTCTGTGTCTCCAGTCTGATATCAAAGCATTCTTCAGATCTCCAGCTCCTTTCAGCTTTGTTGACTACAACACACTTCTGTCTCTTAGGCTGGTTCCACTCCCTGTTAGCAGCTTTCTTTGGCAGGTATTTCCTCGGCTCTGGCATCTCCAGCATCTTGGGGTCTCCAAGGCAATCCAGGGTTTACCTTCACAGCTTCACACTATGGCCTCTCTGGGCCTCCACACAGGGACACCCCCTGCCACATGCCTGGCTTCAGGGGCTTTCCTTAGCCATGGAGGCAGAGTCCATAACCCCTTTCTTGTATCCTTGACTCTAAAGCCAGAACCACATTACCAACGCTGCCAAGTCCTGCTGCTTGTGGGGCTGGAACATGGCCCCATCGTTCACTTACATTTACAGCAGCTTTCTGTTTTCCAAGGTTTCCTTCACTGACTAAGCTTGGCTGTCCTGGAATTTGGTCTGTAGCCCAGGCTGGAGCTTGATCTGTAGACCAGGCTGGCCTGGAACTCAAAGACCACCTGAGTCTGCCTCCCAAGTGCTTAAATTAAAATCATGTGCCACCACAGTCTGGCCATACGCTTTTCTTTAATACCTTTTGCCCAGTTGGAAGTTTAGCAGGGTCTTACCCTGAGGTCACCACTCCCTCTATTCCATTTGGCATCAGGGTTTTTTTTTTTTTTTTAATCTTTTTATCTCCTTGAACACAGGACTTAGCTCTACTAAATTTCATGGTGTCCCCTTTCTCCTCGAACTATATATTTTGTATTTTTTTTCCTTGCTCAGCTTGCTCTTTTTCATTATAGATCTGCATTGGTGTGGCCACTAATGACCACATGACACAGTCAATATGAGGCTCTTTTGAAATCTTCTCCGCCCAAACTGTTAATCCACAACTCTTCTCTAGCCACAGGCAGATGGTTTGGACAAGGGCGAAGAACAACTACACTCTTCACTAAAATATCCCAAGAATGATCCCCACATATTAATAGTCTTCTCTTCTGAAACTACTTGAGCCAGACCCCCACAGTTCAAATCACCCCCAGCTCCCACTGCCCTCCATGCTCCTACAAGTATGGCCCACTAAGACCAGCTTAAAGTATCCGGTTCTTTTCCTAGTTCAAAGTCCCAAAGTGTTCTGTTGTGATATATTGTTTATAGTCTAGGAAATAAAGCTTGCCTGAGGATCAGAGGACAGAGCTAGCCACAGAGTTAACCAGAGAGGTCAGGCAATGGTGGTACATACCTTTAATCCTAGCACTCAGGAGGCAGAGGCAGAGATCCTTCGGATTTCTGTGAGTTCAAGACCACACTGGGCTACATGAGATTAGTCCAGTCTAGAAGAAAAACAGAGCCAGGCAGTGGTGGCACACACACCTTTAATTCTAGCACTTGGGATCTCATGCCTTTAATGCCAACACTAGGAAGGTTGAGACAAGAAGTGATATGGCTGGGCAGAGAAAGGAATATAAGGTGGGAGGAGACGGGAACTCGCTCTCTTTCAGGCTGAGGAGTTGGTGAGGTAAGAGGTGGTGGCTGTGGCTTGCTCCACTTCTCTGATCTTTCAGCTTTCACCCTGATATCTGGCTCTGGGTTTTTATTATAAGACCGTTTAGGATTCATGCAACAGTGTTCCATATTCCTCCAGGCAAAAACATGGTCAGGCCTATCAAGCAATGCCCCAGTCCCTGGTACCAACCTCTCTGTCTTAATTGGGTTTTCTATTGCTGTGAAGAGACCATGACCACAGCAGCTCTTATAAAGGAAAACATTTAATCAGGGCTGGTTCACAGTTTAGAGGTTTAGTCCATTATTATCATGGTGGAGGGCATGGCAGTATGCAATCAGACATGGTGCTGGAGAAGGAGCTGAGAGTCCTACATCTTGCAGGTAACAGAAAGTGAACTGTCTCACTGGGCATGACTTGAGCATATATGAGTCATCAAAGCCCTCCTCTGCAGTGACACACTTCCTCCAACAAGACCACACCCACTCCAACAAGACCACACCTCCTAATAGTGTCACTCCCTTTGGGGGTCATTTTCTTTCAAATTGCCACAGTGCACATTTGAAGTTGCTTTCTAACCTCCTAATCTCTTCTCCTTCTCTCTCTCTCTCTCTCTCTCTCTCTCTCTCTCTCTCTCTCTCTCTCATGTGTCTCTGTGTGTATTTGTCTGTCTGTGTCTGTGTGTGTCTGTGTGTGTGTGCCTGTGTGTGTGTATGTCTCTCTGTGTGTGTGTCTGTGTGTGTGTGTCTGTGTGTGTGTGTGTGTCTCACCCCTTAGTTTCTTCTCTAAGCCAAGGGATGTCCATTTCTCAACTATTCTTGAGTTCCATTCTACACACCCAGCTCCCAGCTCCCCCTGCCCCACAGTCCCTCAGTTACTATGGCCAGGGACTACCCACATCTGCAAGTTCTCGCCTCCACAGCCTCTCCATGACCAAGTGCCAACTCTGTCCCAGATGGACACCTTCTCTCTCTGGCCATTTTGCATGACATTCAGATGCCCAACTTTGCTTTTTCCCCCCCTTCAAATCTGAAGCTCGTATTCTTGTGTGGAGAGTTAGGAATTAGGTTTCTGTGATTCCCATCCCAGCTTTGCCACTAATTAGCTGAATAGTGTGGGGCAGCCTAGCTAAGTTTTCTTGGCCTCTGCTTCCTTAATCAG